TTCTTAGGTTAGAAAATAAGAAGAAAATGTCGGTTAAGAAGTGTTTTATGCTTAAGAATGTTTGGTGAATCCGGCCCCAGGTCTCTGGACTTTTGCCAGCAGTCGGCATTGAAGGTCAGAGGTCAGCAGTGTGATATATGTTGGCGAGTGCTCACGGAGGTCACAGTCAGACATGAGTGGAATCTGAGATCACCTGGTCACCGCAGACAGTAAAGCGCACAGGAATCCTCCACACGGCCCGCAGCAGGTGTGAGGCAGCAGGCATCGTCACGCTCTCCTGCATTCCACAGCAAACCACCTCCTGATGGAGCCATTTCTCCTGCATTCTTGGCCTCATTTCTGCTTGTTTTTTTTCTTTCCCTGTTTATGTGGAGTTGGTAATTTACAGAATGACAGACCTGCGGTGGCTGCATGTACGTCGTCTCGCTCATGTTTCCAAAATATCCCCATGGCCAGGCACGTGCACAGGTAGGGCTCAGCCTGTGCAGAGCACATGCCCTTTTTGCCCTTACACTCCGAAGTGCTCCGTTTTTGGTGATGGTGTTTTTTTTCCTTCAATAAATCAATGATATTGGTCTATATTATTATTATGGTTATTAATAGTGAATAAATCTAAAGCTTTTGAGACTATAATTTTGCGTTTGCCCTTTTTCAGTTTCAGCACATGCCCCTCAAAAGGTCTGTGCACGGTCCTGCCCATGGCCTCTCAGCTAGGGCTAATGGTTTTGAAAACAACACTTCCACTGAGAAGAAAGAAATGTAGCAGGATTTGCCAATGTGTTCTCAGGTTACTTGTTTTTTTCTTGGTAGGCTACTTTGATTGTACCTGAGGGGGAGAGAGCGTGTTTAGCAGGAGGATATTATATTTGCCCAAAAATCAAACTGTCATCGTTTACTTGCCTTTATGGTGTTACAAACTCCTCCTTGGAGTTCCTTATTCCTTATTATAAGATATTTTGAAGAATGTTCACGTCGCCCCTTTCCATTCAATTAAAAAAATAAAAAGACATTTGATTCTATGAGGATCAGATCAGCACGTTTCATACTAATAAATTGTGTTTGAATTTTTTTTTTATATAATGCAAGTCAATTGAGGTTTATATGTAATACAATTTTACCTGATTTTTTATTTGTTTCTCACATAAGCTTACTTTATGATTTCAGATGACCTGAAATAGTGGTAGACTGATAGTGTTTTTTTTTTAATGAACAATTCTGATATCTTAGAGAGCAGGATGACAATATAAAGCTGATATACAGGATATCACATCATTTAAAGCAGCACTATGTAACTTTTTCTGTGTTTAAAATTTGCAAAATGTATATAATGAGCGAGTACATCATGAATTCATCTTCCAAACCGCGTTTTTGTCTTATTCCGAATCACTACGGTACACTTATAATAAGTACTTATATTTGGACTATTGTAGCCTGGTTGGGTCGTCACAGCTGCGGAGTAACACATACCTGCGTGAATCGCCATAGACATAAACTTAGAGAAGTAGCTCCGGTTGGAATGTTCTTCTGCGGGATGTATGCAGTTCTGTTTCTTAACCGCTAGAGCGCCAAAAGTTACATAGTGCTGCTTTAAAGGGGTCATATGATGCGATTTAAATTTTTCCTTTCTCTTTGGAGTGTTACAAGTTCTTGGTGCATAAAGAAGATCTGTAAAGTTGCAAAGACTAAAGTCTCAAATCCAAAGAGATATTCTTTATAAAAGTTAAGAGTCAGCCACGCCTACCTAAAACGGCTCGTTCTAACACGCCCCCACATGTCTACGTCACTGTGTGGGAAGATTTGCATAACACCGCCCAAATGTTCACGCAAAGAAAGAAGGCGTAACTTTTATTCTCGCTGTAGTATTGTTGACGCTGCAGCCATGTCGTGAAGGCGCTGTGTGTTTCGTTGTGAAAGCGAAACTACTTTGGTTGACCTTCCAAAAGAGGACGATATCCGCTTCGTGGGGCGTAACATTTCCGTCACACGCTTGAGGTATTCAGCCAATCACAACGCACTGGATAGCTGGCCAGTCAGAGCACACCTCGCTTTTCAGACCGATGAGCTTTGTAAAAATCTACGCGTTTCAGAAAGGCGGGGCATAGAGAAGAAACAATACTGTACAGTATGTGGAAAATAATGTGTTTTTTTAACCTTAAACCGCATAAACACATTTCATTACACCAAATGCACAAAATAATGTTCTTTTTAGCAACATCATATGACCCCTTTAATTTAAAGATAGTAAAAACACAAGCATAACAATTGCTTCAACTAAACTTATATTTCTTTTACTTTTTTATAATAATAATTGGAACTTTTTTTATTTAAAAAATGGATAAATCTTGTTTTAAAAAAATTCTAAAATAAACATTTACACTTCAGATTTCAAGTTCTTGATTTTGTAATCATATTATGGCATTTGCAAAACAAAGAAATGGTCAAAACATTAATAAAAAGAAGTAAGCACTCTTAACCAGTGTGATCAGTCTCTGCGATCTGTTAAATCACAATTATTTATCCTCATCTAAAGACAAGGCAACACAAATTTTACATGCAGTATTCCATTAATATGGCATAGTGGATAAGCTGTCAAAATAAAAGTCCTGCTTAAAATACTTATCAGCCGATATGCCAATAATTTTAAAAAAAATTAAGTATTGGCCAATATATTGGTCAACCACTAATTTAAAGTTTAGGCCACTTTTAATGGATGTGCAATTTTGTTGTATGAAAGATCTGCAAAATACCTTATTGAGTATTCTGTGGAAGAAAGACAATCATAATGAGTTTGGCACAACAAAAAAGGAGAATAAATTATGACAGATTTTCATTGGTTTCTTCATTGGGAAAAGCAGTCTTAAAGGCAGGATAGGCAATTTGGTTCAAAAACATTTTTGTGATGCTGGTTGAAAGTCTCTTCACATCCCGATAGCAATCACTAAGTTAAGTGCTCTAAATGTATTTATATTGTCTGTGGAAGGCATAGGACCATAAAATGTTCGTCTAATCATATCCCTCAGTCCGAGGATAACGATCTGTCCTGCCTGCCTGTCAACGTATGTATTTGTAAACCTCCGCGCATGTTTTGCACAGACATGATATGTCATCATCACGTTCCATTGCGCTATTGCAGACCAAGCGAGATTGGAAGGCATTATTATTGTAATATAATGTGCTTTGTACAGTAATGTTTTCTCACCGGTGAATGAGACATGAGATAATCTGACAGCGTTGCATTCAATCCTCCACCAACGCCGTCTCTCATCGTGTCGCTGGTTAGCCTCTGCTCTGCCTGTGCGTGGTCATGTGTTCTGGAGGGGGCGTGGCTTTGGAGAGTGATTTGTGGAGAGGGTGGGATCTTATGCTTTAAAAGCTAGCTTGCTATTGCTATTGCTACCCTACCTTTAACATGCAACATGCTGAACAATCACCATGAATGGCCCACAAATTGACACAAGTCATCAGTTTGAATTTACACGCTCTCTAAAAACAGCCTCAATTCAGGGTGTGTAGCTCCTCTGTCCCAGCTGTTTGATAGACATCGGTGGCCAACTTTCTTTTTTGGTGGGTGTGCTTCATGAAATGAATGTCTTGCGCTGGGCTCAGTGGTGTCCGTCTGAGCTGTGGAACGCTGAGGGTTGTTTAGGAGGAAATCATAAAATGCACAACCCAAACCCAGAAGCCACAGACTCAGACCACAGCTGCTTTATGCTGCACATGGAAAGGTGTGGGCTTGAGCTTGTTTTAGCTGAGGTTGCACACGTGGGCTGAATCTGTTGAGCGCAGACTGCTTCACGGTATGTTTAAAGGCTTCGAAAATGTGATCCATCAATTTAAAGCTCCTAGTATTGATAGAAGAGTTTCACAACATGACTTGAGGGATCATTCATGTCCATAGAGCAAGTTACATGCCAAAGTTTAATACTTTTGGGTTAAATCATTGGGTTTAAAACACCAATCAATTGTTCCAAACTAATGTAGGTAAAGTGCTCAGAGGGTCCTGGCTCAGATCAGAAGCAGAAAATCTTTGCTTTCCCTTTTGTGCTGTTCTTACATGTGCACAGAAAAACCTCTGAGTGGTTGTTTTGAGCCCTGCAGGCCCTAATATTGACTTCCTAATTGAATGGAAACCTGAGCGTATGTGCTCATTGCGAGTGTTGGCCCTCATGCTGTTTGCATATCTGCTTCAAAAGGGCCCCACAGTTCTCTGAAAACAGCCCATTCATGTAGATCTAATGGGGGTTTTCTGCATTTTCTTATTTTGTGTCGTATTTCAGTCAGATACTGGTGTCAGTTTAGGACTTCTGTATTAGCGTAATGATTGTAGGCTAGTCTGAATTTTCTTTGTCAATTTTTAAAGAACACCTTATACCTAGTACAAAACATGTCAACCAATAAGATAGCTTTCAGATCATGTGCTTAAAACGGGCATTCAAGAAAGATGTTGAACTGAACATATTGTTGGTTTTTGGGTACATAGAGACTACATACAATTGCAGTGAAATTGTGTGATTTAACTATGATGACTATTAATTGCTGACTATATTTAATTTAAAATAGTATGGAAGTGAAATCAGTAGTATGAGATGTAGTTTGCATTTGCAAGTGTATGAATGCAAACTTTTTCCAGAAAATAATGAAAATTTACATCAGAATTCAAGTGTGTTTTGGTCACATTTGGTGTGAATTTGGTGTGAACAGGCTTTAATCTTCTTTTTTTTCCAAACCTGAGTGTTGATTGTAGAATTTTATTTTATTTTGTTTTATTTTATTTTGTTTTATTTTATGTTGTGTTTTGCATTTTTATATTATTATTATTATTAATATAGGGTCAAGCAACAATATTGCGAGGACCCTTTAGGAATTGTGTTTATTATTTTTATTGTTTTTTTTATTTTAGTCCTAAATGAACTTATAAATCAACACTTGTGATTGTTTCTGTGTTTGGCTAGTAGTTATTTAATTATTTATTTTGTTTTGTGGTCATGTTTTTTTTTCAGGTGGAGCAGTCCAAGGTGCTGATTAAAGAGGGTGGAGTTCAGCTGCTGCTCACCATCGTGGACACGCCAGGGTTCGGAGATGCTGTGGATAACAGTAACTGGTAAGTGTGATTTCTTTATTTTCTGCATGTCACGTGTAAACAGCTGGAAGTCTCCTCACATTAGTGTTTAGTAAATGAGGGATGGCTGATTGTTTATATTGCATTTGCATGTTGACTCTGAAATGTTGGTTGTGTGTCCTGTAGCTGGCAGACCGTCATCGATCACATCGACAGCAAGTTTGAGGATTACCTCAACGCAGAGTCACGTGTCAATCGACGCCTGATGCCTGACAGCCGAGTGCACTGCTGTCTGTACTTCATCGCCCCCTCTGGTCATGGGTAGGCACTCTTTTTCAAGCATTAAATGTACTCAAACCCTCTGTATTTTTGGCTTGTATTTTTGCTGTGGAGGAGCTTTTATAGGTGAGCTCTAAAGTGATGCCAAGTACATCAGGATTTATTGCACTTTCAGCATTTCCAGTCCAAGTTGTTGTTAGATGACTTGAATTGTTGCAAGTTAAATCTCATACACATCCAACTAAAAGTTCTCTGCCATGTGTGTTAATTTTGTCATGTGTGTGAATCTCTTTCTTTTTAAAGGGGCAAGTGAGAGAGAAGTTTACTTGCCTGACCGGACAAGAAGCCTGATTAAAATGTCAATAAAAAATAATAACTAGGGAAGCACTGAAACTTGGCCACCAAAAGTTTTTACGCGAGAATGATTCTGATTTTATTGCATTCAGTGTAAACGGCGACTGATAATGTAGGCCTATTTATGTCGTGCCAGATGAGGCTTGCGCAGCCTGAGAGCGAGAGAGAGACTTGTGCAGAAATCAAAACAAATGAGCGCAACCGCACTCACAGAAAGTTATAGATGGATACTGCGGTAGAAAAAAAAGATATTTATAATATGGGATATAGGTAAGCAACATTACACGACCAAGATGTTTCCCCGAATATCAACACGATTGCAGTGTGACACTGATTTTATACAGTAGTATAAATTAACAAGTTCAATAAACAAGAAGTTAAAATTAAGTGACTTACATTTTAGATACAATATTGACTGTTTTTGTTCAAATTCGCAAACAAAAGGTCGTTCCAATCAAAGCCACAGCAGAACTGTTTTGTGTCTCCGAGCAACACACAGCAGTGTTTTGTTACTGAATGAATCCACTTTTTTGAACGAATCGAATGAGTCGATGATTCAGTGGCTCATTCATAAAGATAGTCACTTTGCCTCATTTCTGAATGAATCATTCATTTGAATGAATCATTCATTTGAACGAATCGGTTGAATGAATGACTAAATCACTCACTCATTAAAACAGTCATTTGCAACCACATTATTTATGCATTTGAAATGTTGCGTGCAAATGCATTTATGGCACCTCAGAAGCTGTCTGTGTAAATTCATCTAATGCCACTTCAGATGCAGCTTCTGTTTCCTCTGCAGTGGAAAGATGGAGTTTGTTGATACTGATTTCATTTGAATGGTAACAACTCTACAGTTTCTTATTATTCTAATTTAATTAATTGAAAAAATTTAAGAATTTGATGTGAAAGATGACACATTTAATAAGGTTAGGGGAAAAAATGACCATTTATAAACAGTGGGAAATGACATCTGTTTTGTTACATACAGCAACTCAACTCTCAGTTAATTGTTATTTCTACCTCTTTCCAGTCACAGAGCACTTTATTCTGAGAGTTGTTTAAATGAGAGAACATCTGTAACTTAGTCCAGATTGGGGGAAATTGTAATGTTTAATTTTTTTATTTGGTAATATTTTTTGTATTGAAATAAAAGTAGAATATAACTTTAAGAACTTTTCTTAGAAAGAAAATCGGAATCTGCAAAAATCGGTATCGGCAGGTCACACTTACAAAAAATCGGAATCGGCCGAGAAAATTGCAATCAGTGCATTTCTACCCATACTGTTGCATACACTTGAGGAACAAACCTCTAATGCTGTTTGATGACTCAAACAATGAGACATGTTGGGAGAGGTGCGTGTTGTTTTGTTTTTGGTTTCTTTTAGTTTGGTTGGTTTGGTATTTTGTTTTGGTTTGTTTGGGTTGATTTATCTGGTGGTTTGTTTAGTGTTTTTTGTTTTGTTTGGTTGGTTGATTTGTTTGATGGCTTTTGAAAGTGTTTTATGTTTTGAATTGTTTTGTTTTAGTTTGGTTTGGTGTTTGTTTTTGTTGTTTTTGTTTGGTTGATTTGTTTGGTGCTTTTTTTATTCGTTTTGGTTGATTTAGTTTATTTGTTTGGTGGTTTGTCTGGTGTTTTGTTTGGTGGCTTTTAAAAGTTGTTTTATGTTTTGTATTGATTTGTGTTTTGTTTTTTGTTTTGTTTTGTTTTGTTTTGTTTTGTTTGTTTGTTTGTTTGTTTTTTGGTTTGGTTTGGTTCGGTTTTGAAGGAGGGGCTTGGGCCTAACCTAGAGACAAGAATTTTAAAGAGACTTGCAGGTGAACTCCTTTGACTCGAGCCATTACTTAATCACATACAGTAGCAATGTGCTACAAACCACTGTAGCACACACTGAACACTCTAGAAACCACATAGCAATGTCTTAGTAACCACTCAGAGACCCACAGCACATTGGCGGTAGGTTTTGCCTGGGAAAGCGCCAGTTATATTTTCAGAGTATGGATGCCAAAAATCACTAATCCTTCCTTTGAAATTCTCCTCTCAGTTCCTCTGATGTCGGATGTCAATCTGATAAAATGTCACAGCACACTGTCTATTTGAAACATACAATTTAACCTTGATTTAGTCAAGACCCAATAAAAAAAAAAAAAAGCTTTTCACCTGCTGATGGGAATCCAGTGTGTGCGTGTGTGTGTGTGTGTACAGTGGCTGTGAGTGTCACAATGGCCTGAGTGGACAGGCACAAATGATTTTCCTGCCGTTTACTTATTGCTCTTCTCGCAGCACATGTGGCTTTACTACGAGCCGAGCTATAAGTTCAGCCAAGCTGTCAAACAGCAGTGTGAATGTGATCCCTCACTACTGCACTACAGAGGAAACCTGTGCGCCTGCATTTGGACTTGTTCTCAGTGTTTAGTTTGAAACATTAAACCCTCACATTCTCTCTATCTCTCTCTCTCTCTCTCTGTCCGTCAGACTGAAACCACTGGATATTGAGTTCATGAAACGGTTACATGAAAAAGTGAACATCATCCCACTCATCGCCAAAGCAGACACACTGACTCCTGAGGAGTGCCAACAGTTCAAGAAGCAGGTGAGAGTGATCGTGTGCTAACGGCAAACTCTGTACCTGTAGATTTTAGGACATCAGATAAGATTTAAAACATCATAATTCAGTTTTTTAGAATAATTTTTCTCTCTCTTTATGATCCTTAGTCATAAACTGGCTGTGAAAGGAGTTGAACGTCCTTACCATGTTAGTGACTCCTAAATAGGTTGTTGGTGTCATTTAATCTAAATGCAATCAGTCACATTATTGTTCAGTATTTAACAATAATTGGGATGGAATTTAATAAATGTATACTTTCAGCGGTCTCAGAACAGTTCACTATGCGGCGCAGGTCGCTAATTAATGTGCACAGCAAAATCTAGGGGATTCCAGATTCGCTTTTTTACATTCACATAATTCCAAACATTCAAACCACTGCAAGTTATTTTACAAATGTAACAGTGTGACAGAGCATATTACAGAAATCCTGCCAATTGCAAACAGGAACACAAGGATATTTCTTCAGTTTTCCGCCAAAACTCAAAGGTTTATTAGGAACAGCTAAGAATTCTGCACAAAGTGAGACATTACTGCAAAAATATGTATTGTTCTAATCCTAATTCTAAATTCTAATCTAATCTAATTCTTATATATAAATACACACACATACTATATATATATATATATATATAGTTCTTAAATGTGTACATTTATGCATGTGTATTTATACATACATTTAAATATAATTAAATATAAATATAACACACTTTTATTTTGGATGCGATTAGTCTTGATTAATCTATTTGACAGCCCTAAAATTTTTATTGATAATTTTTAGTACCGAATTAAAAATTCTTGATTTTCTGTTCTGGGATTGTCTTCTCAAAGGATACATGCAATGCTGGTTTAAATCAAAACAATATCTTTTAACACGTCATAATAATTCTTAATAGGTTTTGTGTCAGCCTTTGCACCTATGATGCCTTAAAATGCTGACTAGTTAGGCAGCTCACTAGGTTTTGGAACAGATCACATGTGTACATAGTACATTGCTCATTTCATAAAGCAAAGAAAATCTTGTTTTCCATTATATAATCCCTAAGGTAAGCTTGCTGCTATTTCATGTGCATGAACAAACATTCAGCCTCCATTCAGTTTGATATTAACTGCCCTTCCTGATGAACAGCCGTTCATAGAGACACAGGAGTTATGTCACATCTCAGCTTCATGAAAGCATTCCCAGAGTTTCAAATGATGAATGTGGGACAGTTTAACATCTGCAAACCAGCTGAAGCGACTGGTGTGTGTGTGTGTGTGTGTTGGAGTGTTGGGGGGGTGTTGCAAACGGCGGCTCCAGTAAGAACTCATCATAACACTAGAGATAAATCTGTCTACACATGGTTTTTATGCTGATTCCTTAGAGAGTAAATGCAATCCCAAACCAGTGACACTGAGAGCCCACAGAGCCTGCTGGGAGATAGCAGGTCTTTTTACTTGTCAGCACCAATTTAATGCTTTTTTTTTCACTCTGTCCTTTTGTTTTGCTCTTTGCCCAGATAATGAGAGAGATCCAGGAACACAAGATCAAAATCTATGAGTTCCCAGAGACTGATGACGAGGAGGAGAGCAAACTAGTCAAGAAGATTAAGGTTTGTGTGTTCACGATAGTTAATGAATTATTCTTTTTGTACTGACACTAGGGGATATTTTCAGAATTGACTAATTGGTGGGTAGTCTGAATGACTAGATGACGTTAAGACCCCAATAGATTTGTCCTCTATTAGATAGAAGTGTTTTGGAGTTTGTTTTAGTGGTTTAAATCAGCTCACCAGCATGAACCATCCGGAAAACTTCAACCATCAATTGCCATCAGGGAAATGGGTCAAACAGAGACACACTCACTGAAACAGTACATTATCATCAATACCACACACACACACACACACACACACACACTGAGAGTCAATATCAGTCACCTGATGTTCCCAGCCTCTCTCTCTCTCTCTCTCAGGACCGTCTGCCGCTGGCTGTGGTGGGCAGTAACACCATCATCGAGGTCAATGGGAAGCGTGTACGGGGCAGGCAGTACCCCTGGGGCGTGGCAGAAGGTAAGGGGTGAAAGGTCACCTCCCCCTTCATATGTGTGTGTGTGTGTGTGTGTGTGTTTGTAGGGTAGGACAGACCCTGAGGCTGTTGATCTTCTCTAGTACACAACAGATCGGAGTCTGACAGATGTGTGTAGATCTGAATATAGTTGTTCAGCTTCATTAGCGATGTGTGCTAAGGCTTTTGTTGCCGTCCCACACCGTTTGTGCTACAGACAGTAATGTACCTCTTATTGTGCAGTTTGAATATGATAAAACAGTCCCTTTGACCGGTGACAGCACAGAAAGCTTGAACTTCTGGCACGTTCACCAGACGATGTCTAGCCTCCAGTGAATCATTCAGGACTGTGAACATCTGTCTCTCACTTCAGTCAGATTATATTTTAAATGGCCAAACCAAAGCCGGAGGACAGGATATCATGTATACAGTGCCCTCCAACAGTTTAGAAACACCCTAGGAAGAGAAAATATAATCCAGTTCTTGTCGTAAGAGCATTAATGTAACTTATCAGTGTTACTGATTATGATCATCAGTGAATACTAGCAATAATAATTTTCTTTGTGATGACACCATAATACCATTAAATGCACACTGTTTTTTTTTTTGTTTTTGTTTTTTAATTATTGGTCAGTATAGCTTTATAATTTGATTTATTATCATTTTAATTATATTTTAATTCAGGGTTTCCCAGACTGGGTTTTATGAGGGAACTGCAGACGGTACGTGATTTGATGAAAAGCGAATAATTAATTGTACAATTGATACAAATCATTTGAATTCAAATATAAATAATTTATTTAATGTCAGTTAATGATCACATGACATACAGGTAAAGAGAGAACTATTATTTAACAGAAATATTAACTTAAATATTTTAGGTCAAAGGGGTTCAGCTGACTTGGTAGTTTGGTAATGTCTGATTTAATTAATTGCCAATTAAGTTTAGCACACAACAGACCAATTAGAATACAATAAAAAGCAAGTATTAGCAATAAAACAATCACTTTACTAGTGTCAGAAATGACTTTTCTGCTGATAAATTATGCCATGTTTTTGATGTAATAAAGAAATGCAGCATTTTCAGTTCTGAACTGAGGTACAAGCCAGTGTTATTTTATCAGTTTATTTATTTTTTATTTTATTAGCATTGTTTTTTTGTTTTTTTTTAGTTAGCTTTTATTTCATATTTTTAGTTCATTTTAATTTTATTGTAGTTTTGAGTAATTTTGTTTTGCTTTTGTCATTTTTTCTTCTTTTTTTTTTTAGTTTTAGTTAATTTAGTAATCACTTCGGCTTCAGCTTATTTCATTTACTTGCCAAGGCAACATTCCAGAAAACTTTCATCTAATTTTTTCCCCCATATATTTCTTTATTTTAATTAGCAAAAGTGTTTTTAATAGTTGTAGTTAATGAAAACAACACTGTAGCTATTAAATTAAATAAAGGCCTCTTACAGAAATGAAAGAATAAACAAGTGACATTTTATAAATGAAAGGCTTAATGAAGTGATTGTCCTCATAGTGTGTTTAGGGTCATGTGATCAACACACTAAGGTGTGCAGTAAGTGAAAGCCTGCAGATCTGCAAACAGGAAGTGTGTGTGTCTTTAGACGTTTGATCGAGAGCTCCTGTAGAGCCGGTCACATGATACGCCGTGAACATACAGTATCCAATATGAGTCGTCAATGAAGCTTTGAAGATGAAGGTCCAGTGATATTTCAGAGCTCATGCAATTCGAGCTGAAGATCAGATGCTGATTTGATTTGTCACGATTCTGCTCGCTCACCGGAGCGGTTTGGCTGGAGCTGATGCCTGCATGAACTTCCCCTTCTTTCTAGACCTTTGACCTCTGATAACACCAGAGTCGCTAAGCCAGATCCTCTGGAGCGAGCCGCACTGAGAGCAGGCTTATTGTGCCTGAGCTCAGAGTTTGTCAGCTCTAGACAGATAGATAAAGCAGATGTGATCAGGAGGCTGTGGGTTTGATGACTGTATTTGGATCCAGTGGTTATCTGTGTTTTAAGAGGGTGAGTTTTGAATGCCTGAGATGCTTTCAGCAGCATGTAAGCACACAGATGGCATGTGGTTGAGAAGGAGGGAGAGGTCTGCTTCATTCATTAGATAAGTGACGCACACGCAACAGGAGACACAAGGCAGTGCCAGATCAGGTGCCACCTGCTGGTCAGTTTGTACATTACAGTAGCAGAGTAATGATGAATGCCAGTTTGTTCCTATGGACCCTGTCATATATTGTCAGAGCTTCAGCTAGCAAAGCAGCTTGTTTGGTTTACTTTTTTTTTTTTTTTCCAACGAGTAGGTTATTTTCATTTTAATTTGTGTTTAGCTTGGCTTAATTTTAGTTTTTTGTAACGATTATTTTGTTTTCAACAAGCAGATTTTTTTTTGTTTAGCTTAGTTTAATTTGGGTTTGTTTGTTTTTTTGTTTGTTTTTGTTTTTTGTTTTTTTTTTCAAAATCAGTTGATTTTGTTTTCAACTAGTAGCTTATTTTTGTTTTAATTTTTTTTTTAGTTTAGCTTAGTTTGGTTTGTGTTTTGTTTTTTTGATTGTTTTTTTCTGGTGCAATTGATTTTTGTTTACAACGAGTAGGTTATTTTTGTTTATTTTAGCTTAGGTTGGTTTTTGTTTTTTGGTTGTTTTTTTTGGAGGGGGTAGCAAATTGATATTTGTTTACGTTATTTCTGTTTAGTTAAACTTGTTTTGTTTTTGTTGTTTTTTTGCGCACATTTTTGTTGTAGTTTTGGTTCTGTGGTTTTGTTTTATATTTTTAAGGTTTTATTTATTTTGTTTAATCTGTGGATTGTTTCGATTGCATTAAACCATGTACAAACATTCATTTTCCCTTTCATCTAGGTGTATAACATTTATTTATTTATTTTCAGAGAATGATATTTTGCATTAACTTGAGTGAATTATTTTTTCTGCAACCTTTTGCTCTATATATTCGCATTAGACTTGGTGTATAGGCTTTCAGTCCTCCATATTTCAGCTCCAGATGATCTGTATATAATCCAAATTGGATATTCGTATGCAATTATGAAGCCCATATTAATACCAGTTTGCATACTTCTACGAGAATAGTCAGTATGTAAGGTGTGTACTGTGCCTAACAATTAAGAATTTGTACTAAGTATGAAGTAACCCACTGTCTGTAATATCATAAAATTATATGTCATTATATATGATTAATAGTATGCAAGCTGACATTCAGCCCAAAAGGCACAACTTTCCTAAATGTATATTTTTTAATTGTAGTCGTCTTTAACAGCAGGATGGGAAGACATGGATGTTGTAGTGCAAAGCTGTTTTCTGATTCACTTTAAATTGATTTTGTGGTTGTTGTTGTTGTTTTCAGTGGAGAATGGGGAGCACTGTGACTTCACAATCCTTCGAAACATGCTCATCAGGTACATAACCCTGTTTCTACACCAGCACTAATAGCTGATGATGGAGCTGACATTCTCATGATTCCTCCAAACTGACCCCTGATCAGTCAGAAACATCCATATTAGAGCGATTCATCTGTGGCCCACTGTAATAAACTTTTGTTTGAAAGTCTGTAAGATTTAAAATGTTTAAAAGAAGTCTCTTCTGCTCACCGAGGCTGCGTTTATTTGATTAAAAGTACAGTAAAAGCAGTAATATTGTGAAATAATATTATAATTTAAAATAACTGTTTCCTATGTGAATGTTTAGTAAAATCTAATTTATTTCTGTGATCAAAGCTGGATTTTCAGCATCATTCCTCCAGTCTTCAGTGTCACATGATCCTTCAGAAATCAGTATAATATGATGATTTGCTGCTCAAGAAACATTCTGATTATATAAGACAGAGTTGTACATGCCGTGATATAAATCTGTCATTTATTTGTTCTCTTCAATCACAGAACTCACATGCAGGACCTGAAGGACGTGACCAACAACGTCCATTACGAGAACTATCGCAGCAGGAAACTGGCCGCGGTCACTTACAACGGCGTCGACAACAACAAAAACAAAGGCCAACTCACAAAGTGAGTGTTTTCACTAATTCAAGCTCGAGAGCCTATTTTAAGCCATACTTCAATACGTGTACACAAGCATGATTGCTACGATTTTCTGATCACTATAAAGGATCAGTGTGTAAAGACGTCTAAACCTGGACCCCAGAGCTAGACTGACACATGCTAATAATGCTGATAATAAGTCAACGCAGTGGTACTGAACCAGTCGACACATCCAGGCTTCCTAACAGCCACAGCGGTTCACGCTCAGCACAGACCTGTCACTAACCCTCAAATATAGTCTAAACGCTCGCTAACAGCCATTCACATCCACCCTCAAGAGCCCCCATCTTAACCAAAGCATAAGAGCGGCCAAAAGTACATGATTCAGCTGCTAACGTTGTTTTTTTTTTCTAACACACGATGCAGTGTGAGCATGCTAAGTGTTTGTGTTTTCTGATTTTAGATCTGACACAGTTGATGGCATGTAAGTGTCGTGCACAAGTTCACGTTTGTCTCATCCTCTCCTCTGCTCTCTGTTTTTCCCTCTTTCTCCTCGTCTGTTCACGTTCGGAGTCGGGCGTCCTGCTCAATGTTCACTAGTGTGTGTAGCTGCAGTTCCAGCTTTGTGTTAGGGACATTGTCAAACTGCTGTTCTGTAGCACGTGTGTCCTCCTTTAGCCAATTTAAGGACGCTTATCCTGCTTCCTGTCAGCTGGAAGACTTGAAAGTAAATTAAAAGTGTTTGTTAAGAAGCTAGGCAACTCAGGACATGTTCATGGTAAACTATTTTGGAAACTGCCTGACAGGAGTAAAGGCCTGTACACACCAATATTTGCATAATTTTGAAATAAAGTGTCTTTATAAACACTTTCACACAACCTTTTTTTTTTTTTTAAACCAAATGAGTATGTTAGCTTGTTTTTGGGATTATTTTTATTTTATTTTATTTTATTTATTTTTTATATTATAATTTTTTACCAAATGAGTTGGTTTGTTTGTTTTCATTGAGTAGGTCATTTTTGCTTTAATTTTGGTTCAGTTTTATGTTGTTTGTTTTTTGCGGACTGTGATTTGGGTTTTGTTTTGTTTGTTTTATTTGTTTCAGTTTGTCTGTTTGGTTTTTTTGGGGGTTTTTTTTTTTTTATATCATTTTTTTTTTTTGCACAGCAGGTAATTTTGTGTGTGTTATTATTATTTTTTCTCTTTGTTTTGTTGTTGTTTGTTTTTTAAACAGGAGTTTTAGGGTTCAAACAAATCCAACCTAATGAGATCAGGCTCAGCGGGTTGAAAACACTTGCTATAAGCGTTCCCTGTCGACTCAGGGTTTGATTCAGAGTTTGGGATTAACTGTGGAGCACGTCAGTGATTGATTTCTTGCGTTGACACGATTCACTTCTCTGCTGAAGATTGAGATCGTTCTGAAAAACATGAATTTAAACGCATTTACAAGGCAGAAAGAACCACCGCTGCTGCTGTCACAAAGGTTTGAGAAGACAGCTGCAAGAAAATATGATTACATTAATGCAAGTGTATTAACTAAATTTAAGTAATATTTTATGTAGGTTCACAAAGAGCTTAAAAGAAAAACATGCAAGTTTAGCCATTTTTAAAAGCTTCATATATTCTACAGCTTTTATTTAAAGTAATATAAATTAAAAGTTGAAAATTAATTGTTAAAATGCTAAATGCTAATGAATTAAGAATATAATAAATCAAATTAATATAAATGTAAAAAATAATTAGCAGCCGCAAAAGCTGGGCAATTTTGGCAACGAAAACTTCTAAAAACCAGTCTTATTAAAACAAACAAACAGTTTGCTCAAACTAAACTCAAATTTAGCTTCATGAAAAGCAACACAGGTGATCTGTTTGGTTTGTTTGTTTTCATTGAGTAGGTCATTTTTGCTTTAATTTTTGTTTAGTTTTATGTTGTTTGTTTTTTGCGGACTGTGATTTGGGTTTTGGTTTGTTTGTTTTATTTGTTTCAGTTTGTCTGTATTTGTTTAATTGAAGCATGGAAAAACATGCATTTTTACTTTCATCCAGGTGTGTAACTGTTTTTCAGAGAGTAATGATAATTTGCATCAATTTTTTTGTTTCTGCAAACTTTTGCTCCATACTGTATGTTCTCATTAGACTCTGTGTGTACAGGCCTTCAGTCCTCCATAATCCAGCTCCAGATTATCTGTATATAGTCTTGACTAGTTGTGTGTATGTGATTTTTGGATGGTTCATTTGCTGTGAGTGTTTGATAAGCGTCTGCACACTAACACAGCTGCAGCTTACTAACTCAACCTCAGCACACTGGGTCCTAAAGTCTTCCCAGCAGGGTCCTCTCTTCCCTACTGCTCCTGCATCACGGGTCTATTTGTCTCTAAAACTCAATCAGGCTCTTTGAGTAAACCGTCTAATGAATGCGTGCTGTGCATCTGCCCGTGCGATGCTTCTGCTCGTGTGTGTGGATGTGAACAGGAGCCCACTGGCACAGATGGAGGAGGAGAGGAGAGAACATGTGACGAAGATGAAGAAGATGGAGATGGAGATGGAGCAGGTGTTTGAGATGAAGGTCAAGGAGAAGATCCAGAAACTCAAAGACTCTGAGGCAGAGGTACCACCAGCAATCACCAACAATTCATCGTTGAAGACAGTTTCTGCTGTGTACTCTTCGGAAATGATTGTTATGTTATGGAGTCTGAGTTCCCTCTGCTGGTGTGGTTTCGTCTGTTCAGCTGCAGCGGCGTCATGAACAGATGAAGAAGAACCTGGAGGCCCAGCATAAGGAGCTGGAGGAGAAGAGACGTCAGCTCGAGGAGGAGAAGGTCAGCTGGGAGGCCCAACAACGCATTCTGGAGCAGCAGAAGCTGGACGCTTCCAGGTACGCACTCGTTTACAAGGACACACCAGAGCTCTGCTGCTAAACCTAGTGAGCTGTCTAAGGCAGAATTGCATGCATCCTTTATGCATAAGGAAATCCCAGAATGCATTGCGTCACACTTTTTATTGTTAATATTGTGAAATATTATTACTATTTAAAATAAGTGTTTTCTTTCTGAATATATTGTAAAATGTAATTTATTCCTGTGATGTAAAGCTGAATTTTCAGCATCATTACTCCAGTCTTCAGTGTCACATGATCCTTCAGAAATCATGAAAATATGCCGATTTGCTGCTCAGTTATTTTTGGTGCTCAAGTACTAATTATAATAATTATTTTCAGTGTTTTTTGTTTATTTAATATTTTAAATAATATTTAAACTTAATATTTGTTCAGGATTCTTTAATAAATAGAAAGTGAAAAACAACAGCGTTTAATTGGAATAGAAATCTTTTGTAACATTATTAAATTCTTTACTGTCACTTTTGATCACATCACTTTTGATAAATGCATCCTTGCTGAATAATAGCATTCATTTTTTTAAGTCTTATTCTAAACTTTTGAATGGTATTGCATTACAGAAAAAAATAGATACATACATAAAAGTATTAATTTCTTTCAAAAATATATAAACATTTTTATTTTATAGTAGTTTATTTTTATAGCCGCAAAAACTGTTTCTAACATCGATAATAAATCAGCATATTATACTGATTTCTGAAGGATCATGTGACACTGAAGACTGGAGTAATGATGCTGAAAATTGAGCTTTGATCACAGGAATAAATTACATTTTAAAGTATATTAAAATATGAAACGGTTATTTTAAATTGCAATAATATTTCACAACTTTACTGTTTTTTCTGTATTTTTGATCAAATAAATGCAGCCTTGATGAGCAGAAGAGACTTTTTTAAAGAACATGAAAATTCTTACTGATCCCAAACTTTTGAATGACAGTGTAACATACACACACACACATTCAGAAGTTTGGGGTAAGTAAAAAATGAAACATTTTCAATTGAAATTAACATTTTTTGGTTTCCACAAAAAAAATATGAAGCAGCACAACTGTTTTCAAGCAACATTGAAAGACTGGAGTAATGATGCTGAAAATTCAGCTTTGATCACAGCAATAAATTACATTTTACAATATATTACAATAGAAAACAGTTATTTTAAATTGCAATAATATTTCACAACTTTACAGTTTTTTCTGTATTTTTGATCAAATAAATGCAGCCTTGATGAGCAGAAGAGACTTTGATCACAGCAATAAATTACATTTTACAATATATTACAATAGAAAACTCTTATTTTAAATTGTAATTGTAATATATAAAATTGTAAAATTGTAATATTATACAATATTACTGTTATTGTATTTTTGATCAAATAAAAACGGCTTGAGCATAAAAAAAAATGTATTATTCCAAACTTCCGATTGGTAGTGTAATTAAAAGATATTGTGTAACATTTTATTTTAATCTGTTGTAAAGTGTGCCTGTCAATGTTTATTTCCTTTTCTTATTTTTAATCCTAAAGGACCTTGGAAAAGAACAAAAAGAAGAAGATCTTTTAAACCACTTGGACCATCATCACATCCTAGTTGCCAATTAAACCAGTCTGTCGACCAAAACCATACATTTATATAAAGCCCCATGTTTTTTTATGTTTTTGTGTTGTTGTGGGGACGCCTCACTGACCTGGAAACACTTAACTCTATCCATCCTTTAGGCTCTTTCTCCACATCTAAAGCGTCGGTTCATTTGCCAGACCTCACAGAAACTGAGAGCGCCTAATCTAAAACAAATAAAACATACAAACTTCTCAGAGATATGCAATATTGTTTGAAATGATAACCTCTTAGGACTTTGAATTTGTAATGCGTCAAATTCCCCTCCTGCATCGCGTGTTTGTTTAGTGCTTTTAGATCCGAGGTCACGATTGATTGGCCACGTCAATAAAGGCTGAATCTTACCTCAGGCATTTCTGGCCTTTAAACGGCAACCTTTTTTTGTGGCTTCTTCTTTTCCCTTCCTGAAATGTTAAGCTCTCCAATATTTGTGTAATTTAAATTATTTAGCCATGGACCTTAGCCATTCATGAAATGTGTTTGTTTTTTTTTCAGTTACCATTATTTTGTCAATTTCCAGTTCACTGTTTGTTTGTTTTAAGTGCTTGTGCATTTACACATCTTTATGAATGTCACATGATTTGTCCATGGATCCTCCTGTAATGACGAGCTGTACCACATTATGTGAATGGAGGATTCATCACACATGGTGGGCATTTGTAAGTGATCTGTTGATGTCTGTTGGCTTCCAGCGGGTGTGTTTCCTGCTCCTGCTCATGTAAACTGATTCAGGAACAGTGAGCTGGCGTTCTTGGCCAGTTGATGTGTGTTTTTCTCTCTATAGGCACGAGTTCCCATCAGAGCTGACACTTAGCTCTCGGTCATGTACTTCTGCAACTTTTTTGTTAATTTTGTTTCTCTTTGTTTTGCTTTTTCATTTTCATTGTACAAAGTCACATAATAAACTTGTGATGATTCCATTTTAATAGTATGAGTTGTTTTGTTTTGATGCACTCTTTGCTGTTTGTCATTAATGGAAGAAGTCAATCAAGACAAGCAAGAGATGTGTTGACAGCTGTATGTATTGATGCGGGGCCATTGATGTTTATTGTATGTAAATAAACTGCTCATTGAATGCAGCTTTATAAAGGCCAGAACATGAAGCGTCTCGTTCAGGAACAGATTTGACAGGAAGGGGGCAGCAAATACTGCGTCAATTGCCTCTTCAACTTTACATTCATTATCATCTTTTTTCTTTTTCTTTTTTTTTGACTTAAATATTAGACTTTTGGAGAAATGTCTTAAACCAGTCTGTGGACTCTCAATTTAAAATATTTGTATATACAAACTACTTCTGAAGCGTGTTGGGGTTTGTTTTGTGTTTTGTCTGTTTTATTTTCAGCAACCACTAATCTAAAAAATGTTTATACAAATTCTCCTATGAAGTGTGTTTTATTTTTTTTGTTTTAGTTTTCAGTCGCGACTGCAGGGCAGGATCTCAAGACTGCCGCCACACATCCACACTCTGAACGACAGCTCTACAGCATCAAAACAGCAGAGATAGAATTACATTCACGTGTGAAAGTAAACACAGAGACATTCAGAATATTGTTTCAATCGTCCTGAATAATAAATATACACAGTACACACACATATATGTCATGTAAACAAAAACTTTTATTTTGGATGAGATTAATCGTTTGACAGCACTAATTTGTATTTTTTTGGTGATTGCTAAAAAAACTTAAAAGGAGAATTTTAATAAAAATATTTTGCTAAAAACAAAACAAACTTATAAAAACATTTATACAGATTCTCCTTTGAAGTGTGTTTTTTGTTTGTTGTGTTTTCAGCAAACGCTATCTATCTATCTATATATATATATATATATATACAATTTGTCCTATGAAGTGTTTTTTTTTTTGTTTTTTTTAGCAAACACCAATCTTGCAAAGTAGATTTGTCTAATTCACTTGTTGCATTGCTTTCCAAGTTCTTTGCATTTCACTGCTGTCACTTTCTGAATAATTGCTACTGGCCTAGAGGTACTTAAAGTGCTGTTCCAGCTTCAATACAAGTGGAGCGTTATGGACTGCATCGGTGGCATACTGCTGTTCAGTTAATGTTAATGCACGAACATAAATGGAAGTATAGGGCTGGACAATGCACTGAAGTAAATGTTAATATACACTATTACAGCTTGTTTTTGCATTTTTGTTTTTAAATCTAGTCACATCGATGTTTTGTTTGTTTATATAAACTGAGGGATGAGTCTGAATTTAATTGAGCGTATCTAGTGTAGAGTTTCTCTCATATTGAACCCAGTACTAGTTCTTTCATCCAGAAATGGTTTAATTTCAGTCATGGGATCTCATCAGGCTTGACAGCACATCTCGAGGGCTCAGTGCTAGGAGATGTGCTGCACCAGTGCACGACATTTGTGTGTGTTTGGTCTTTTTATCACGTAACCTCTGGCTCTATCCCCATTTTAAGTGTAACTCTCAAACAAATGGAGACCTTTGAACTAATGGGGTCTTGCAGTAATCAGTGGGAGGACTCGCTCATCAGGTGATGTGACTCATCTTGATCCTGCGATTGGCCCACCGTTATCCCTGATCATCAAGATACATGCGGTTTCAGCCAATCAGCGCTGACTCTCATTTTTAACATCATAGGAAGCCCAGGCTGGAATAGGTGCTCTCTGAAGACATGTGGTAAAGATTTCAAAGAAAAGTCAGTGTGCCGAAGGTTCACAGATGGATACTGACACAGTAAATCAATACAGAAAAAGATCCTTTCAAATGACCAGCCCTGCAAACAAGAGCACTGTGGTTACATCACATCATGTTAAATTATAATGTAGTACTGGGTCATATTTGCCCATAAAGGTAATATTACTGGTTTGGTTTGTGTTTTGTTTTTGTAGTTTTCTTGTTTGTTTTTTATATGATTTGTTTTGTTGTGTGCTTTTTGTTTTGTAGTTTGTTATTATTTGTTTTGTTTTGTAGTTTTGTATGTTGTGTTTTTGTTTTGGTATGTTGTTGTTTTGTTGGTGTTGTGTGTTTTGTTTTGTTGTTCTGTGTTTTGTTTTGTGCCAAATCCTTGAGCCCCAGGACAGTAAATTTGTCATTCATATGCATATCATTTCTGTCTCTTAGTTGTTCCCAAAACACGGTTACGATCCAGGAGGGACAGGGCCTTTTCAACGTATGCTCCAAAACTGTGGAATTCTCTCCCAATTGACATTAGGGACGCTAATTCTTTAGCTGTTTTTAAAACTTTTCTTAAAACATTCTTTTTCAGGAATGCTTTTATTTGATTCGTTTTTATTGTATTGTTTTATTTATTTCTTGTTGAATTTATAGTATATTGTCTTATATTGTTGTGTTTTCTTTTATGTAAGCTTTCTTGGAAAGCGCCTTGAGAAAGCAACTTTTAAAGGCGCTATATAAAATAAATGTATTATTATTATTATCATTTGAATAAGTACATAAACTCTGCGAGGATCACTCTGTTCCTTAAAATAAATCAACCATATTTGGGGAGTTATTTCTTTCATTTGAATCTGAAATGTAAGATTGATAACCACTTGGTTAACTGTTAGTTAGTCAAACTAGTTCTTAAGACACCGTCTTTACATGGTGACTATGTTTATGCAACTGGCCCCTGGTTGATATTCTTATTGAAATATAAATTTAATAATAAAAAAAACTAATAATAATAATAAAATTGCTCCTAATTATTTTGCATTACAAATTGAACAGACTTAAATCCATCAAGTAATGAAATCGGTCATGAGGGTTGCTCAAACAAGACGAAATGGGCGTTTCAGGGCCATTTTTATGTTTCTCAATTTCCCTTTCTAAAACAAAATGAAAAACACAAAACAAACCGTTTCAACAAACAACTAGAAAATCAAATATCCAGAACACACAAAGTCAAGTAAATATGTGTTTCTGTAACACTACATAATACCGCCAACAGTGCCAAAGGTCATGGGTTTGAATCCCAGGCAATGCATGCACTGATAAAATGCTCACCTTGAATGCAATGTAAGCTGCAGTGGTTTTAGGTCATGGAGACAAATGGTACCGTGTCCTGAGAATGACCCACCGTAACTTGCATTTTAAACAGCTACATCGATGCAAACAGTATCATTTAGTCACTAATGCTTGCCTCTTGCACACAGAGCATGTGGTAAGTTCAGCTTTGTGTCTGATTAGGCTGGGGTCCGTGTTGGCTGGAGGCTGTACTGTGTGAGAGGTTGTTAATGGGGTCCCTCAGCACTCTGGCCGATCAGAGGACACTCTTATGTAACCAACACAATGCTCTTGGATTTGATGCCAGAGCTGAACACGTCCTGCCAAACACAAGGCCTTACCGCAACATCTGATTGAGCCAATCCTAATGTCCTGCTGCATGGTGACCTCATTCCCATCAGACTCGGGGCAACATGGCCGGCTCGCAGACAAACCTGTAGATTCATCAGCCAATGAATCTGATCCACTTATACATGACCATAACATGAAGTCAGTATTTGCATATTAACTCCATCCTATATAATATGATTCATGCCGATGTCCAAAACTCTGGATCAGTGAGGTCGTATTTGTGTCTGTCTAAATTAGGTTGCACCACCTGTGGTCTCTCGCCATGGATACGCTCCCTTTGTTACCAAGAAATATAATTACATCACCTAGTTACATTAATTTCACTCGTTCCTGAACCCAGTGAACTCAAATGATAGTGTGCGGTCTCGGGCCGCACTGAGAGTTTCTTCTGAGAACTTCTTTTAGCCACACAACACTCAGATCCTCAAGTACACTTGGAAGTCTACAACGAGGATTTAGTTGGCAAACATTTGCTGTCGACACAAACTAATACAGCGGATAATTGTGACAAGGGTTCACAATGCTTTATTATTATGTTATGCTTTATTACTGTAACTATTTATAACGTACTTACAAATATATTACTGTTGTACAATGATTACAATTGTACGGCACAAATAAAAAAAAGAATAATTATAATAAAAGTTTTATTTTACACTACAAGTTACTTGTATTTATGTCTTAAATTGTTCACTTTAAAACATTCAAACCCTTGACATTTCAAACCCTCAAGCTTTTATTCTGGTGAAATACTGTAAACTTGCAGCGCATGCAGAGATAGAATTCACTGCATGAAATGAAATGAAATAAAATAAAACTAAACGTATTTTATTTCAGCTATAGTTGACAAGGCATCATTTCTCATTTTCTCAGCTTAAGCTAAAACTAAATAAGCTAAAAAATATTCTGATAAGTATAATTTCAGAGTCTATAATTTAACTAAGAGTCATTGAAGTGAATCACTGAATCTTTTTCTCTAAACCTATTTGTTCAAAAATACTGATTCATCCACACTGTAAAAAATAAGTGTAATTTTAACTGTAAAATTTTGTAAAAACGCTACGGAAAAAAAATGTTAATAGGTTAACAGTAAGTTCCCGTACTATATACAGGGAAAACTGTAAAATATCTAACCAGACATTCATTTTGTCTAAACTGTTAATTTTACAGTTTTTAGAAGTAAAAATAACAAATCAATGTATAATTTAGTCAAAAACTGTAAACTGATATTCCCAGAATTCCCTGCATGACACTCCACATTTGAAAGTATTTTGTTTAAATAATCGTGTTTTTTAATAGTTTTTGTTATTAGTTATGTATATTTGGGCTTTACGTTACATCTTCTGTTGTTTAATGAAAGTTTAATGCATTATTTAAGTATTATGTGTGTTACCATGATGGTGTTTTGTGTTTGCATGAATGACTCTGTGCACCTTCTATATATTAGTATATACTTCTGCTTGTGGCGAAGCTACTTGTGATGAGCTTTGATTCTTCATGTGGCTTTCTCTTTTCCCACCTGCATTATTATGGTGGTTGTCAGTATGTTAAAGGTACAAAACAGGTTTTAATAGCAGTGTGCATTGTTG